TATATGAAGATATCTAAATATACATATTTCAGGAATATGATATCAACTAAAGACATTTGAAAAGTAACATACAAAATCCAATGCATATATTACTTTTGAAGCATTAGTTAAAATATGCAGTTTGCAGATAATCAGTCATTATAGCTTCCATGTATGCTAAGTAGTAATTAGCAAAAGTGAAGAGAACATTTATGTTGATTCTTTTAACTGAATTATCCTTCTATAAAGGATCAAATGAAGAGGAACATTTTTCCCTATCACATGTCTATATAGTCTCTTAGAAAATATGAAGTGACAAGTGTTTAACATGATATTATCTAGATAAAATCAGTTAAATGTTTTTACAAACACAAGTCACTTCCTGAGATTCTATTTGAAAACAAAAAGCACTAAAAAACAGGAAGTCAAAAATGTGGCTAAAAAAAAAAAAAAAAAAAAAAAAAAAAAAAAAAAAAAGGGGGGCAAGATAAAAGTTTTAACAGTCTCCTGCCAATACCTCATAGATATATTCCATTTTGATCCATGGAAAGAGGGAAAAAAAAAAAAACACTACTTGGTTTCAGCATGAAAAAAAGAAAATGAAAAGAAAAAAAGTAGAAATATTTAATGGCTGTTTCAGTGAAATGGAAAAGTTTTCATTTCTATCCAATTCTTAAAATAAAGACCAGCATTCTTACGATTGCTATTGCCATATTTTGTTAAAGTTGTTAAGCTCAAATACTTAATGTCATAGGGGAATGTCTATGGATATTTTATTTTATTGTTATAGAACTTGCCATGATCTCATTCAAACATTAACTTAAGAATTAAGATTTATCAGATAATTTCAATAATAAAACCATGAAATTTTCATGGGCCTTTCTAGTATAATTATTATTTTTTTATTAGCCTAAAGTGAATGACTGGAAAATTGATCTGAATAGGTATTAATGAGATTAAATTAATCAAAGTCAAGAACATAGAATAGGTGAGATTCAGTAATAGGCAACCAAATAGCATCCACCTGATAAAAAGGTAAAAATAATTTGTATTATGCTAAAAGTAAAGTTTAATCATCTGGAAAATTATCTGTTAGCTGATAACAAAAACACCCAATAGGTACATTTTATGAAGAGATAAGAGTAAAAGCTGGTTGAAAGAACTTATTGGGGAGATTAGCCAATGACTTTTGGGGTTTAAAAGAAAGAAAAAAAAATAAAAAGAAAATCTAATAAGACTTCAAAATGTTCAATAAAAATTTGATTGAGGTCAATGACAAGATATGCACTAGTCTTTGAAAACATGAGGGATGTAAATTGGGAATTCAATATATTTTTGTTAACATAAACATTAAGTTAAAGAATAACATTGCATGAAAATGATTCCCTGCTCAAACCCATTTGATCCATTTAATACAATATCTAAACACAAACTGATAGAAATAAAAAGTTCACCACTGAATCTTATTTTTATCAAATTTGCAATAATTTATAAATACTTCTATTATCTAAATCTATACAAGGTCAGAGTTGCCCTTATTTCATCCATTCTCTTATTATAAAGGTGTCAATATAATTTTGGTTATTTGAGTGAACATGCTGATATTATCAAAGACAAAAATACCTATACAAAGCTAATTGATTAACAAGAAGAGCCTATCTCAACATAATCACTTTGTTATTCAAAGAATCTAATTTAATGTACTTTAGCATCAGGAAATGTAAAAAAAAAAAAAAAAAAAAAAATTAAAAAAAGAGAAACAACTTACAGGTTAAAAATATATGAAAGTTTACCAGATTAGTCACCTTCAGCTATATGCAATTCTACCAGATCCATTACTTAGTGTATATCAATAACAAAATCTTTATACAATTAAATAGATATACACATAAGAGAGATAAAAATATAGTTTCAAGGTATGTTATATTTATGAGAAAAAGTGCTAAATATCAGGGATAGAGCGTTTGTTAATCTAAAAGCAAATACTGAGGGCAACATTAACAGTTTCATTCTTGAACACCATCTGATGGCCTGAAGATTGCATTCAAGAATGAAACAGACTGTTGTTGCATCATTTTACAGTTGAAATTGCTACATGTAAATTCTATGTTAAGAGTTTCTTCTCTCACACTTCTCGGTTGTGAACTCTCTTCCAGCTTCTTGCTTCCCAGTAGACTGATCTTCAAAGTGTTTATCGTTATCTTCCGTCTTAATTCCTGTTCTTTTATTGTTCACTCTCCTTAATAGTGTTTTTATTTTTCTCTTATTCTTTCATTCAGTAACTCCCTTGTATCTTGGTGGCTTTATTACCTTGCTTGGAGATAAAAAAAAAATATTAAATTGAGAAAACAAATATTCATATATAATGAAGAATAAAAGTTACTTGTATTGAAATCTTTTAGCTCATAAATTTAAGAAATTAAACAATAAAAGAGATTTAAAATTTAAGAATGATCCAATTTTAATAAGTAAAAACAAACAAGTAAATTTTGGCTTTGCCAAAGACAATATTTCATGTTTTTAATTATTGAATTCAGGGGATTTTATGGTCATTCATTTTTAGTCATTAATCATCATTGTTTAAAAAAAATCCCATCCCTTGAACCAGTGTCCCATCACATTTTATTAAATAATAATAAATACCGAAAATACTAGAAAAAAGTAAATAAGTTATATTGAATCAAGAATCAATTGATATTGCATAAGAAAATAAAGTTAAGAGAGGATAGATAACTCTAAAAATGAAACGTTACCAACAAGTGTTTAGTAGTTAATTTGACTCATCATTAATAATTAAGAAGGAATCTTAATACATTCGACTTCAAATATTTAAAAACTACAGTACAGTGTGTAGTAGATTAATTTAATTCATTTAAAAAATGGGAGAAAAATGAAGGGCCAAGCGCCCCAAAGAAAAAGAGAAGTCACAAGTGTTAGCTTACTTTTTTTTTAAGCGAGTTAAAAATAAATAACCTTCAGATTTTTTAGATTAATTATTTATTCTAAAATCTAACTGGATTTCCTTTTTGACTAGTGTTTAAATTTTTGCATTGTACTGAGTGAATTGATTTTTACTCTACTTTGGTAATTAAAAAAGAGGAAAGCACTAAAAATTCGAATATATTTTTTTTAACTAGAAAAAAAAAAAAAAAAAAAAAAAATCTACGTTAGGCTCATTCGTGTTTTTAGTGTTAACTAACCCTGTTGTCATTTTTTAGATGTCAAGAAATAAAATGGGACCCATATCCAACTAGCTAGCATATTAATTTCGTAGCCTTTTGAGTTGATAGGACTTTTTATTTTATTTATTTAATAATAGTCAAGTCGAATAACAAAACAAAAACAGCTAGGTTTGTTTTCTGTTGTGAGTTTTAATTTTTTTTTTTTTAAACATTCACTTTCTTGGTTGGTTTTACGTGGAAAAAGGGACGAATCTGCTGTAAGTAGTAGCAGTTTACATGCATTCCTGCTGCATGACTAAAAATATGTAAGAATTTTAGAAAGAGATCAAAGCACCGTCTTTCTTTGGGTCGAGAATGATAACGTGATATTTTCTCTTAAAAATAAATAGTTTGATTTAAAATATGATAAAAAAAGTGACAGATTTAAAAAAAAAAAAAAAAAAAAAATCCTTGTTTACTACTTCACGCTGCAAAATAGAATTATTAAAATAAGCGTTTCAAGTCCCCTTTTTAAAAATTGATCTTGCGTATTTTTGAGTCATTCATTATTTAAAAACAAAAATAAAAACGAAAAAACTCCATCAAATTTTAAAAAATGAATTAAAGAATTTTAAATACTGAAAAAAAAAAAAAAAAAAAAAAAACTAGAAAAATAGAAACGGGCTAATTATTTTAATTCTTTATAGAGTCCGTCTCCAATCGTAAAAAAAAAAGTGTTTTCATTTTTCAACTAGAAGTACTACAACTTTTACCTACCTGTTGTAAAACACGACACCTGTTCACTAGTTACAGGTAAATTTTACGTGTTTACAACATTATCACTACTGTTTTGTTTACATTTATTAATCCTCAAAATTTGGAAATGCTTTTTTATAAAATAAATAAAAATATAAAAAGAGAAAGACTTAAAGGGCCAAGAGAAAATTATTTTTTTATAATACAAATTTAAAAACTTTTAAAAAAAAAAAAAAAATCAAAAGCGAATTTATCGGATGCTAATGGAAAATTGGAAAGATCTATAATAAATTTAAATTTATCTACATAAAGTAAACGAAAAAAAAAAAAAGGACAGACTTCAGGAGTTAAAAAAAAAAAAATCAACTTTTTTACCGTACGGTTAAAAACAAAAAGCGAATTGCAACTTTTTGTACACGCATTTTTTTAACAAAACAGAAAAAAAATTTAAAACACTACGTTCAAAAAGTCTAAAAATCTAACAAAATAACGGACATTTGTCAACAATCGCTTTCATGATTTTTCAAAATCAACAATTTTTAATTAATATTTTTCGCTTTTTTTCCTAAACTCCACTGAACGTTTTTTTTTTTTTTTTTTACTTTACACTTGATTTGAATGAATTTCTCAAGTGGATAAAAATTAAATAAAAATATACATATATATCGGTTGTTAAAAAAAAAAGTTAATAAAAAATAATGACACTCAAAAATCAAAATATTAATACTTTTTTTTTTTTTACCGTTTATTTGTTTTTGTTTTAAAAGAGACTTCTGAATTTTTAGCATTTTTCCTCGCTGAGTTATTTTAAAAGAATGTGAGGAACGCGAAGTTTGTTTTTTTATTTAAAGACAGAAACTTTGTTTTAAAGAAAAAAAGGGCCAAAAAGGGAGTAACAAGGAATCACAGGAAAAACCTTTTTTTAAAAAAGAAAGTAAATTATCTGGATAGTGAGTGAATAATGGACTTTTATTATACTTTTCGCTTTAGTTTTTTTCTCACTTTTCTCTGTAATGCATTTTTAAAACTGACAATTGATCTGCTTGAAAAGTCAGTCAACTATTCATTTAATAATAAATAAAGTGAAGACAAAAGATAACTTACGATTATCATTTAAATGAACAGCTGCTAGCTAAAAAAAAAAAAAGTCATCAAAAACTAGTTTTTAGTTCAATAACAATCATGATACAGGAAAGGGGAAATATTTGCTTTTTTGCATATATTTTTTAACATAAAAACAGAATAAAAATTGAGGATTTATTTGAAATTTAATTCATTCTCAAACAATTATTTAAAAATGTGATCGACTTTAAAATAAAACGAAGCATAAGGTAGCAATTGATTTTTTTTTTAAATTAATTTTATTTTCAAATCGATCATAGAAACGTGTAAATAAACAGTAAACACAGTAACATCAAACTTCGATGAAAGAAAATGTTGAGCTGATCTCTCTAAATTGCACACAGAAAAGAAAAAGACTTCTATATAAAAAAAAAAATTGTAGTTTTGCCAGAGTTATATAAAACAATGAAATGTGGAACACTAGAGTTGTTCAGCTAAAATATTTCGTCCATGTACGCGAGTTTCTCAAACAAATGCACCCGGTTTTAAACATCTCTCTATACAACAACGGGACATAGTTATGCATGATTAATAAAGGAAAGATCAACACGTTAAGTAACAAAATAAAAGTGAATAACGAGTCTATTAACACTTTTCTTAATCCTTAGATGATTTAACATTTGAGACTTAACAAAGTTTTTGCGGCCTGATTTTGAAAAATGCAACTATCAGCTTCTTTTAAGCACCAACTATACCAAAACTAAAAAAACTAAAACAAAGCAATAAGGTAGAAAAAATAGTTTAGGAAAATAAAGACTTTAATTAAATTTTCTTTTAATAATGATTTAACTGCACTGAAAACTACACTCAAGAAAAAAAATATTAACATTCCACAGAAAAAAAATATACACGGAGTTTAAAGTGGGGAAAAATCCCTTTTTCTTCGTTATCAAATTTTTGAATACTTTTTTAAGAACATTTGGATGAGGAAATAAGCTTTGAAAAAGAAGAAATAGTAACACTTACCGAAAGGTAGAGCCCAGATTGAAGAGTATAGGCAGAAAAAGTAGGTAGGAAGCAGCAAGTGCCAATTGGTTCTTAAGAATAGCAAGGGTAAATTAAAAAAAAATAGTCAGAGTGAGAGAGAGTGTGAGATGAACTAAAAAAAAAAAAAAAATGGGGAGGACGATGAGCAAAAATGCCGAACAGTTAACACGCGCACACACCGATGTGGCCTAAGCCGGAGAAATCGGCAGGCAAATATCATACAAGCAGCAACCACTTTAACTACCACTAACGCCCTCTATCAAGCGAACGTCGTCAAGAGCAGACAACTTTTCAAATCATAGCGAGTTGTCAAACCAAAGTAGTAGGCAGACAAGGCAAGTCTGAATTCTTTAACACAGATGAAAGTGAAAGTTAATTTAAAAGAACCGTTATAAATAGACATTGTTAATATTTATATTTTTATTATTAGTTTGACTCGGTTATTTAAGCCATAGACTAGTGATGTCTGGAGCCTCAATTGACATTTTCAAAGCAGAGCAGAAAGCCAAATGAACAGAAATTAGAGTAGGAAGATTTGTTACACCAATCTTTTAATTGGGAAAGGCTAGTCTACATAAAAGAATATTAGTATTCAGAATGCTGACTTTAACTTGGGCTTGAACACTAACAATCAAGCCCCAAACTTTTGATTAATGAAGCTACCTTCAAAATGCCTTTTCTAACCAGAGTAAATGCATTTACCTTCAGATGTTGCCAATTTATTATAATTTAATTATAATTTGCTTGTTCATCATTTTTTAAAGTCATTTGCTCTTTTGGCTATTAATTTGTTAGTCAAAACAGCAAGGCTTCTCTTCCATTTAAGGTGGGATATAACAATTTCCCAAGAAAAATGCTTCCCAAAAAGATAACTGGCTTTTGACTTCAGTCAGTCAGTTATGTGCCATGTGTGATACATGCTTAGGCAATCCTGTATCTTTTCAATACATGACTAACAAGGCAAATTTTTTCCTGCAGTAGGTTGCCATTTCTTTCAGTGGTAGACCAGTTACCATCCAAGGCTATAGAACCCGATCTGTCCTGCTATTTACCCATAGCTGGGGGGAGAAGAAGAGGATTCATACCTTTTCCAAGGGTATTAGTACATAAGTGAATGTAATAGATTCAAGTGGAATTTGAACTCGGCTCTCTGATTCCTCAATTTGAACCAATATCCATTATTCCACCAGCCTTTTGACTTATAATTTAATAATTGCAAAATTTGAAACCACAATAAAATGGATTTTTTTGTTGAGATATTTACTAGCATCACACACACACACACACACACACACACACACACACACACACATGCCCCCTTCCCCATATTTTTGAAATAGAAATGAGGCTATATAATTTTTGCTTCTTTAAAAAGAAATAACTGCCTAAAACTTAATTTATTTACTACTTTTTATTAAAATAATAATTTGAAAAGAAGGTACAAGAACTTAACTTTAACTTAAATAAATCTATTTTATTTGCTTGAAAACAATAGAGAATGGTAATTAAATAAATATCTATTTAAAAAATATTTATTTAAAAATATTGGAGTGAGTGGCTTAGCTCCCTAAGCCTCCCCCACATCCAGAAAGTACAGTCTTAGTATTATTGCAATGGAGTTTTATCTGGACTGAAACCCATGTTTTTTTATTTAATACTTATTTAAAAGTGAGGGGAGGTATCCCCCGACCAGAAAGTACAACCCTGGTATTGTTGTAGTGGGGTTTTATCTGAACCCCACATTTTCAGTTATTTAAAAATATAGGGGGGGGGCTTAGCCCCCAAATTCCCACTCCAGAACGGCCCTAAAATCTATTTTCAATTGACTTTTATTTCATAGTTACTTAATTTTCCTACCGTGTCAAAATTACCGAATCTTCTGTTTCCATTTCTGAATGTTCCTAAATTCACACACACACACATATATATATTACAAAATATAAAGGTACTTGTTTTGGTCCAACTATAATGAAACTGGTAATAAAAAGTGCTTAGTACAAGATAGAGTATACAAAATCATCAAGAAAAGTGAAGAATAAAAAATAAAACCAATGCTATTCAAGTTTCACCCTTGAATTGAAAGATCATCAGGCCAAGTTCAATTTTAGTCCTACTTAGCTTGTGGGACCAGCCTTAAATATGGAGAGCACATTTTTTTTACTAGAAGTGAATCTCTTCTGGGTTTCATGTTAGAAATTAGGTACTTTTTAGCTAATTCTGCTTTCCTTCATATATGCTTTTGTTGAAACAGGTTCTGGATCAAATAGCTATCATTTCTTTTAGGCAAACAGTTCTCTGATTGGCTGAAATATGTGACCAAATTTTATATTTTTAAGTTGAAAGAAATGGAAGTTCTGCACTGAGCCTACCTGCATACAAACATGAATTCATCATTCGCATTTTTGACTCTGAAACGTTAACTTCCTGTTTGATTAGGTTTGTGCCTCTACAACTTCACACATCTCTTGAATTATTACTTTGCTGACTTTACCCAATTCAATGGGTTCAATAGCTCAGGTCTATTCTCAAAGTCTGCTTTGTGGTCTTTAATTGTGCAGAATGCATCCAATTTCCAGTATTTTTCCACTGTGTCATTAAACTTTAAATTTTAAAATTGTAGCAATATCTCTGGCCTCAAAATTAATACTGCTGATACAGCCATCAAGAACCTTATAAAATTTAGTTACTTCATCATATATAACATTTTTGTATACAGTGGTTTTATTTTATATATTTTAAATGATTTATCCCCCCTTTACAATGACTTTAGTAGACTTCTTAATTTGCTTGAGCTCTTTGGACAATATGTCCTGAAAATATTTTTTTATTTTATGAAAATTCATTGTCTTCACTAAGTCAAGCATCCTTTTTGAAATCTGCTAACCCAACAACGCTCACACACGCACACACACACACACACACACACACATATAAACACAAGTACACATCAAGTGCTTCAGACCAGCTGCAATCTTCAGCTGAGTGCTGTGCTTCAGCAAGGTTTCAGCCCATTAAGCTCAGTACCTTTCCACACGGTGGGCCCGCTACAGCTGGATGATGTTGTTTTCAACATATGAGTGTCTTTCAGTTCAGTTTTTATGTTTATGTTTCATATGAGACAACAATTCTGCAAGGGATTTGCAAACAATTCCACATGAAGGAGATGCTGAAGGGTTGACTGTCATATAGGCTGATGTATTAGCCTGAGATTTAGTTTTAATTCTTAATTCTCTCAGATGGTTTAGACAATTCTTTTCAAAGTTAGTTATACCTCAGTAGCAGGTGTTTCTCCAGTTTGCTTGGTTTTCAACAGCAATTTCAAACTCCTCTATAGGGATATTTGCAGAAATTAAATTGTATTTAAGTTTGTCCTTGAAGTGTAACCAAGGACGGCCTACATTACGCTTACCATGAAAAAGTTGGCTATACATGAGGATTTTCGGCATCTGATCATCACTCATTCTGATGACATAACCAACCCATCTGTACTGTGATTGCATCAAAAAGAATTCCATACCACCGATGCCACATTTGATGAAAGGATCAGAGTTAGAGATCTTGTCCTGCCGTGTATAACTACATATTGAACAAAGACAGAATTTATGAAAAGCATCAACTTGATTGATGTGTGTCCTGTGTGGCATCCACAATTCTGACCCATCAAGAAGTGTGGTGAGAATGACTGCTTGATAGACACTGATTTTTGTTTTCAGTGAAATCCGATGAACATCCCAGAGGCGATGCTTAAGCTTCCCAAAAGCATTGGTTGTCTTTGATATTTGGTTAATTATTTCGTCATCTAAAGAGGAACTTGAATTGACTTTGCTTCCTAAGTGCGAGAATGATTTCACATACCTCAGGTTGTTGCTGCCAACATTAACAGGAATGATTGGAAAGGTATGGGCTGGTGGTTTTTGTTTTACACCCTTGACCTGCTTAGGTGTAGGCCTTGGTTGATGGACAATTTTCTTTATGCCTATAGTTAATCCGAATGTGTTGCAAGTGGTGGAAAAATGATTGACAAGTGCTTGAGCTCCTTCGATTGAGGTGGCCACAATTGCAGCATCATCAGCAAACAAGAAATCACGAATAATGCTTGCTCGAGTCAGTGATTTTGATTTAAAACGTTGATGGTTAAAGAGGCTGTCACTTGTTCAGAATTCAAAATTCACACCTGTGTCAAGATACAACCTTTTTGCCTTTGTTCTTGAAGAAATGTTTTATGCAAGCATCTTTGTAGTCCCATGGAACAGAGCCAACCTTCCATATGACTTTAAAAAGCTCAAGAAGTTTCTTAACCAAAGTCCTCCCACCATATTTATAAATTTTTGGGGGAATAGCATCTTTTCCAGTGGCTTTGTTTGAAGACAATTGCTTGATAGAATCCTGAATTTCCTTTAGGCATGGCTCAAGAAACAACTGGAAAATTTCTGGTTGCTGATGAATTGAAGCAATAATGTTGTCACCAATGACAGAGGTGGAATTAAGGATACTTTTAAAGTGTTCTTTCCATCATGATATAATTTCCTTCTTGTCTGTGTGGAGTGTGTTACCATCAGATGACATAACAAGTGAAATTCCATTTCCTTATGGGTTGTACACCTTTTTTAAGGCCTTCATAGAATACTTTGGGATCTTTTCTGTTAGTTGCTGCCTGGATTTCTACAGCCTTAGCAAACTACCAGGATTCTTAAATATGCATGTATATATATATATATATATATATATATATATATATAATTAAAACCAATAAAATCATCAGATGACAAGAACCTCTTGTGAGAAACTTGAAGTAATGATTTGGGTATATATATATATATATATATATATATGTGTGTGTGTGTGTGTGTGTGTGTGTGTGTGTGTGTGTGCACCTGTGTACAAATAATTAGATTTTTGCTAAAGATTTACTTGCATTATTTACATTATTTGAATTGTTATCCTTATCTTCATTGCCATATTCACAACGTTTCAGCCATTGTACACTCCAGCCTTCTTCCGGTGATTGGAATTTTGGAACCAAATGCTTTATTTCATAGATTGTTCCAGTTGCACATGCTATGCCTCTTCCAGATATGTCAGTTATTTCCCTTTAACTCAACTCTTCAAGTTTTGGCCTGGTATTGAAATCACAACTCTAGTCACTGGATCTAACCAACATCTTTATCCACTGGGACATGTTTCAGTTCAAAATTTCAATCACCTGAAGAAGGCTGGAGCATACAATGGTCGAAACATTGTGAATATGGCAATGAAGATGAGGATAACAGTCAGAATAATGTAAATAATGCAAGTAATCATAATACCTCAACTCAGAGATATAGACAGCTATTAAAGATTTACTGTTTATTTTTTCTCATTCTCAACAGGAATAAGGAATATAAGGAGTATAGCTTACAACAT